CAGCAACCCACAGAGTAATAAGTAAAGAAAGGTGTATAGAACAGAGAAAGATAAAAGCCCAGCAGCAAAAGATAGATGGGTTAATTTAAATTAAGAAACGCTGGCTAGAAAGAAGCCAGGCTAAGGCCAAGAATTCATAAGTAGGAAACAGCAACAGGGTCAGAAAGGAAAAATGCCACCTGCCTGATGGAATGACAGTTGTTTTCCAAAGGATGCCTGTGAAAGCCTGATACGCATGCTCTATGCATGTCCAGAACTCTAAATTAGACATCATGGGGAACTTTCTGACTTGTGGAATTGTTCAGGTGCAGAATGTGTCTCTCAGAGAGGACTGGCTTTCCTTCCCTCAGCTGTCCAAGCAGAGGCTGTCCCAACCTGCTGAGGCTCGGGTACGCAGTGTAGAGCCAGTCTGTTGACAGAAACAACACAAAACAAAGCAGCACACAGTCTCTACACCTTAGTGCCTGTGTGGGAGGAGCCTTGAGGAGGAAGCTAGACTGCCCAGGATGCTAAGGCTGATATGAAGAACTGGCAGGGAGAAAGGGGTCAAAACTAAAACAACCTTCAGGTGACTGTGTCGGAGACCAGCTAGACAGTTTCCACACTGCTCATTTCAAAGCCAGCACTGCAGGAATCTGATAGGTTTTTACAGCTCCCACTGGAGAGAGCATGGGGCAGATGATCAGTGACCCCAGCCTGAGAAAGTCTCAGAAGAGCATAGGGTGTCAAGAGGCTGTGATCAAAAATGCTCCAGTGTTTCCAGATGTGACCATATGCAGGGACTGTGTCACTAGGATGACACTAACATCTTTGGCTTGTGAAGCATAAACATTGCAATTATACTACAAAAATTGTGTCATCATTTGGGGTAATTATTTGTGAGTTTTTGTTTGGTTTGGTTTGGTTTGGTTTTTTTCACAATAAACACAAGGAGAAAAAAGGAAAGAAAAATAACTGTCTACCACCACAGATATCCTCAGGGAAACTAAGATCTCAAAAGCAATTCATAAAAAGTCAGCTTTAATTCCTAAAAAAAAAAGAAAGTTGCGGTTATGGTATGAATATTTTTTTATTCTAAAAAGATAATCTGTGGGCCTGCAAAATGACTCTTCAGGTGAAAGCACTTCTATGGGAAGTCTGATAACCTGAATTTGATCCCAAGAACCCATGTAAAGCATGTAAAGGTTGAAGGAGATATAGAATCATAAAATCGCCCTCTGACCTCCTCATGCACAAATCCTCAACACACACACATACACACACACACACACACACACACGCACACACACACACTAATAAAAAATAATAATCAAAACAATGCTTTTTTAAAGCATGTGAATGGGATACAACCACCTCAGGACATAGCTTCCTGAAGCCAGCTCCCAAGTGCAGTCATGCTAGAGACGCTTAGGGGAAGGGGAATAGCTTCCTGACCTGGAGAATGGCAAGAGTGCTCCCTTTGCCCTCTGCAACTTGAGGACACAGCTATGAGGTGCTGTCTATGCAGCAAAGCAGGTACTCCTCCAATGCTGCATCTGCTCATACTCTGAGCTGAGAAGTTCCAGATTCCTGAACTGGAAAACAAAAACTCCTTGTACCAGTTTGAAAGAAACTGGTCCCCAAGCTGGGCGTTGGTGGCGCACGCCTTTAATCCCAGCACTTGGAAGGCAGAAGCAGGTGGATCTCTGTGAGTTCGAGGCCAGCCTGGTCTACAAAGTGAGTTCCAGGACAGCCTCCAAAGCCACAGAGAAACCCTGTCTCGAAAAACCAAAACCAAAACAAAACAAAACAAAAAAAAAAAAACAAAAAGAAACTGGTCCCCAGAGGGCATGGTATTAGTGGAAGCTGTGGTCTTGTTCCAGGAAGTATGTCACTGTAAGGGTGGGCTTTGAGGTCTCCTATGCTCAAGCTACACCAAGTGAGATAGACCACTTCCTGTTGCCTTTGGATCAAGATGTAGAACACTCAGTTACCTCTCTCTACCATGTCTGTCTACATGCTGCCATGTCCCACTTTGATGATAATGGACTGAATCTCTGAACCGTAAGCTACCCTCTGGAACCAGGCTGGCGGGAAGACTTCACTCAACACCACCCAATTAAATGTTTTCCTTTTATAAGAGTGCAGTGTCTCTTCCCAGCAATAGAAACTAACTGAAGCACTCTTATTATTTAATAATCAAATAGTCTAATGTATTTTGTCATAGAAGTCAAAAGGAAAAGACACCAGGACAGACTCAGAACTGAGGGGCGTTGTGTGTGCCTGGTTGTGGGTGGAAGAACAGAGTGGGAAACTGCAAACAGGAAATGAAGGTCTCTAAAAAGAGCCGTTCACTCTACACCCCATTCTCCATAGCCAAACAGCTGCTGCCTTTATAGTCCCTGGCAGATGAACAGAGAATAGGAACACAGCATGTGGTGATACTCTCTTGGCTGTTACCAACAGCCAGAATGCAAACGTCCACATGTAGGCTAGCTCTCCCTTCCCAGGGTTCCCCAAAAAAGCAGAAACAACAAGCAGGTAGATTCCAAGGACACTGAGCCAACCTCCAGAATCTCCCCTCCAGCACAGCCAGGTCTCTGCTGGCTCCAATCACTGACCATGTGACCAGAGCACAGCCTTTGCGTCTGTTAACCGAACATCTAGAGCGCATTTTAGAGTCATTCTTAAGTAGCAGCGGAGAGCCAGATCCCTAGGAGTTGGACAAGAACCTCCAAGATGAAAGGCTGGAACTGACCTGATGAGAAAGAACCCAGAACAAGCAAACTCCAGGCAGAAGACAACAGAAAAGAACAAAGCAAGGGCTCGTTTCCATGAAACACTGACAGTGGAATTCAAAAGGGAATTAATGCAAACTGTCAGCACCAGGTTTTAGAAACTAAAAGTGTGGGAGCAAAAATGAAAAGTGTGTATGTGTTAACTTTTCCGTGTCAGTCCAGACAGAGAGGAACAGCTCCAAGGGGCAGGAAAAGGGACACAAGGGAAGGAGGGACGACTCAGTGCCTTTGAATGTCCTGAGACAGGACCTATCATCTGTCACAGTTAAAAGTGAATTCCTGCTAGGCAACTTTAAAATAAATAAACAAAAATACAGTAACTCCAGGGGAAAACATTGTTCCATCAAGGAAATATAGTCTCCCCGAGCAGAAATGGCAGGTGCAAGGTCATAGCAATAATGTTTTGATTATTAATTTTACTAATAGCATAATTTAGGCATGTGGGGCAAGACCAGGACAGAAGAGGCTCATAAGACCCCCCCTCCTCTTCCATAGCAGGGAGCCTGGGGAGTTCCTAAATATCAGAATAGCATACACATGTCATTAGGAAATAAAAGAGAAGCCATTTAAAAAGGCTCATCCCTGAAAACAAACAACTAAGTATATACAGACAGAGCAGGTTGCACTTATAGATTTAGGAATATATATGTGTATATTTAGGAATATATATGAAAAACAAGTTGTAAGAGGAGTGAGATGGGCTGTAGCTAGAGGTAGAGAAAATGTAGAAATAGCCAACTATTCAATTATGTCTGTAGCCCATTTTGATGAAGAAAGTATTTCCTTATATAAATAATGGTATTCAGAGCTTACAGAAGCTGAAATAGCTTAGAAAAAGTGATAAACTAATCAAGACATCGTTTTTCAGTTACTTGTCTTTTTTGGGAAGCGTTCACTAGGTAGACCAGACTAGCCTGAACTCGCAGAGATCGACCTTCCTCGGCTTCTGGAGTGCTGGAATTAAAGGTGTGTTGCCACCTTGAACAGCACCAATTAACTTCCAAGTTTGCTGAAATATTGAAAGGAGAGATTACTGCAGTGGCAGAAAGAGGACAGGTCATGTGAGGGATGAAGTCCTAAAGGAGTAGAGGACAAAGCGGGATCGGGACAGAAATACAGGCAGTTCTGCCTCCCACTCAGGAGTGGCGGTCAGAGGAGGAGAGGGATAGAGGAGTAGGCCAAGTATACGGTAACGTGTGAACTCAGGAAGAAGCACACTAACTCCATACAAAATGCAGACTGTCCTTCAGGAGCCGTCGCCACCTTGATTAAACTCACAACAGCTCCGAAGAACACATGTTCTGTCTCACTGATTTCGAATAAAGCACTGAAACGTGATGATCAATACCTTCCTTGCCTAATGTCAGACCTAAAGGTTTTCTGGTTTAAAATAACTGCTCTATCCATCTGAAGTTAATACCAGCACAGCCTATTGCAACACACATCAACATTCAACATACTCTAATGGTCCATTCTTTCCAGGAGGAAAACAGTCATTATCCCCCTGAAAAACACAATGTTAATGCATGTATTTTAATCTACTTTCATCTCTCCTACAATTAAGCTGAAAACCAATTTCCCTGGAAATTTAATTTTTCCACAAACCATTTGAGATTCATTTCAACTAGGTTCACGAAGAATGGTGTGTGAGTTAAAACTAAATAAAACCAAGAGCTAAGTTTCCATTTAAATATCTGGCTAGGCTTCCATTTAAATATCTAACTAGGTTTCCATTTAAATATCTGTCTGAGTTTAACTGTTATTAAAATTATTCTTGACATTCATAGAGAACAGAAATTTAATTTGAAAAGTTTATCTTAAGCACGAACACATTAATAAATTCTGATCTTTGGTTCCACAAATCAGCAAAACGAAGAATTGTAATTAAATGATTTCAGCTAATCAATAACTTGGAACGAGATGCACAGCAGAAAAACTCAAATAAACATGCCTGTGTATGTGCTGCCTTCCTCACAGTTCGGTAAATGTTTGTTCAAGCAACAGAGGCGGCTCCAGGCACAGCTTTGGGAGAACAGCCAGCTGAGATAGCCGTTCACCCGCTTAGCCCTTCACAGCTACTTCAGAAAATAATCCCCAGAAAATGCATCTTGTAAAGAACTATAAAGATAGAAATTGCCTCGGTGCTCCCTTTAAGACCCTGCAAGTTAAATCAGAGATTGTCCACTTGCTCACAAAAGCACACAAACACACTTTGCAGAATACCTGATTTTGACTTCAGGATAACTTGAATGGTGTGTCCATCGTTGGTGACTTCACAGTCCCGGCAGACCACGTAATTTGGAGACAGACGGACATCCAGCAGCGTGGGGTCGTACCTGGCTTCTCTGGAGTTTAGGTTGATAGGAGACTGGTATTCCCCGTTAGCATCGGGAAACACCAAGCCCCACTCAACACCTGACAAGGAAATGACAAAAATTGAGAATAAGTTTTTTTAAGTTAGTAACATTAAAATATAACATAAAAACTCATAAACCTTGACATTATACCTATAACTACCATCTGCATATAAATGAAATATGAGAAACGTGTATGGGTTTTTACATTCATTATGTGAGTGATCTGTTGTTAAATGTAATACCCCACACAAAATCCTTCACTATGTGTTTATATCTGTGCACACAGATGCCTTGATTTAGGGATTTGGGAAACGTAAGTCATCTTTAAGTGATTAGAAAAAAACACCACAAGAATTTCCTCTGCTCATCAGTTCAATTACAGGCAATACTTAGAAAATATCTGTAATGCTCAACATGCTCAAAGACAGCCGAAACTCCGTGGTGCTGAGGAGCAACACTTGTTTAAAAAGCAAATACAGTATCCCATGCACATATTTATGGACTCCTTTGCGCTTTTTCCCCTCTGTATACAGTAAACATGGGCACTAATGACTATTAAGAATCCTGGGCTTCCGGGACAGATTTAGGAAACTCCTTTTAAAGTCTCCAAGAGCACTGACCCAGCTTGCAATTCGGGACGCATTTGGCGCTTTTGGTTGTACTTCTCCCAAGACAAGGAAGCAACTAGCTTTCAGATACGCTCCGGGCTGGGCTGCCCGGGCGCAGCAGGTGCGAACCGCAGTCGGGCAGCCTCGGTGGGGAAGGCGCGGGACCGCGTGGGGCGGAGAAGCGGCGACAGCAGCCCAGCGAGCCTACCTTCCTCGTAGCCCCACTCCACGCCCTCCTCCTCCTCCTCCTCCTCGTCTTCCTCCTTCTCGGGGAAGGCGACTGCATCCTCGATGAAGCTAAGGTCAGCCATGGGCAGCTATGCGGCACTGGCGCGGCAGGCACGGGGCTGGGGGCCGCGCGAGTGTGGCAGTCCCCGCGAGCGCGAGCGGCGGCCGGTCGGACGCAGGCTCCAGCGTTTTAAGGCCGGTGGGGGCGTGTCGGCCCGAAGACCCGCCCCCTACTTACAACCTTCCCCCTCACCCCCCCAACAGAGCAGCCTGCTAAAACCGAGCTGGGGCTGCTGCACCCCAGGAAGCCTGCTGCGCCCCCCCCTCCTAGACCTTCCAAAGCTGCGGGCCCCCAGAACCTGTCTGGACTTGGACGCCCCATTTGCTCCAGGCAACGTCCTGAAATGAGCGGATGGGTGGCCATGGTTTGAGAGGGGATTGGAGACCGTGAACTCAATAAGACTGTGGTCAAAGGGTTTATTCCCTATCATTTACCCATTAGTTTTGTTGGGGCCTGGTTTCGTGAGACAGGTTCTCAAAGAGATCAGGCTGGCTTCATACTCCTCCCTGTGGAGAAAGGAATGACCTTGAACTTCGCCAACACTGGGGTTGCAAGAATGCACCACCACAGCCTGGGGCGCTGTCCTGTGAGCTAGTTTTACTTTTTTTTTTTTTTTTTTTTTTTTTTTTTGAGACAGGGTTTCTCTATGGCTTTGGAGACTGTCCTGGAACTCACTTTGTAGACCAGGCTGGCCTCGAACTCACAGAGATCCGCCTGCCTCTGCCTCCCAAGTGCTGGGATTAAAGGCGTGCGCCACCAACGCCCGGCAAAATGTTTAGCCCAGGCTGGCCTCGAACTCGTGATCCTCCTGCCTCTGCCTCCTTCAGCAAATCCTACCGGCGTGCGCCACCACAACCCGCTAGTTTTACTTTTTAATTTGTCCTTAGAGCACAGCGAAAATGAGTATAGAACTTTTTCCCCAAGAAACTCCTACAAACATTTCAGGAAAAGAAAAGGACAAATTTAGCATCAGGAAGTAGGCATAGTTTGGAAGGTCTTTTACTACACGTATTTCAAAGACAAGGACACAGGGTGTTTGATTCCTCTTTCTAAGTCCAGGGTGCTGCTTCAGACTCACCTTACTGCATGCACTGCTCCCAAGCGCCTCGTGAAATCGTGCAAATAATGAAATGCACACATTACGAAACAAACAGGAACTTTCCCTGATCCAAAGAGGTCAAGTCGTTACCTCTGAAACATGTTTCCCAACCCCAGGCTAATGCTTCATCCCTGTGTTCCAGCCCTGTTCAGTAACCCTTAAGCTACTGTACTCCACATTTTAAGAGATATATTTGTATGATTAGCTCAGCTGCAGGCCTGGAGTACAATTTACCTCTTATATACCCTATGCACACTCCAAAATGTCTGTGAGCAGATTAATGGACTGTGGTTCCTAGATCCTTACATCTTTATGCATGCTAGCTCCTCATGCAGGATGGAGATGTTTAATTGGGGAACTTTGAGGTGCTGGGTTCCTATCCTTAACTGCCTGCTGGAACCTTAACTTCAAAATCATATCACCCTCTGTTAGATACAACTTCAGGAAGTAGATGGAGGCTAAGGAGGAAAATATCAGGAGTTGGCCTACTCGACACTTTCTGGAAAGTGAAAATTGTTAACCAACTTCAGCACTGACATAACCAATGGATTTCAAGCATATGTCATTTCTTTTCTCCATCACAGATGCTGTAAACTGACTTCCCCATCTAGAAGAAAGAAATAATCAGACACTAAATTTACCCTGAATTCTCAGCCTTTCCACATACTTAGTGCTACTTAATAATCCCCAGGCAGGCCAGAGCCCACTAACCCATAAGCACTGATGAAAAACACCCACCAGTTTCTACTGATATTCATCTAAAAGGAACTTTGCATTTCTTTTTCACTTTACTTGAAAACCTTTTCAAACCTTTTCAAAGGCTGGATTTGTTTTGAGTTTCTTGTATATACTTTCACACTAATCAAATGTCATAGCTTATGAAGTCCATGCAAAGGCTGTACAGGACATCTATCATAAAAATCCCTGGTCCATTCTGAACTAATCATTGATATCCCCCTGTGCCTCCCAAATGCATACAGATGTGACATTGTGGCCCATTGTGTGACCACTAATTGCATTTAAGGTACACGAACATGGAAGTGTTTACCAAATCAAACGACTACCGACTCTCCTTGGCAGGTAAGTTTTTCAGGAGTAAATGGTGTGCATATTTACAGGAGATAGGCTGAAAGTTTGCATTGTTAACATTAAAGTTTGCAGCTAATAGTGTCACATATAGCAACAAGACACCGCTATTCAAAAAATGGGATTGCTTGTGAGACAAGCACTTGTTTGACCCATGTTTGTTCTTTCTGGATTTTCCACCTCTTTTGTATAATGTAACTCCTATAAGCAGGAAAGCAGTACCTCCAGCTACATCTGAGCCATTCTGCTCTGCAGCCAAATTTTCAATTACCATCCTTAATTGCTTTGAGACTGTGTGCTTCACACACTGCTAATTACCAACACCTTAAGACCTCTCCACAGTTCCCCTGCTGTATTAGCACCAAAGATGGCATTTCTAGTTCTAGTTATTATAAAGTCCTGTCATCAGAAAATCTAAACACAGATCAAAGATGTAGGCCAAGTCTTTAGTTGACAAAATAGAACAAGCACTCCCAAATCCAGTGTCAGAATCTAAAAATATCCATGCTTTATATTATGATCAGAAGTATCTACTGGCTTGGGGTCCCTCTTGAGCTAACATCGTATTTGAGTTTTTAAATTGCTCACACAGTGTTTGCATAACTGAGGTCCAACTATAGCATCAGAACAATTTCTTAAAACTAAGATTTATACCACTAATTGTCATTTGATAGAAGCAGGGATCCTGAAAGGGACAGTCTCCACTAGAGGTCAGAGGAGCAGAGAAAGGAGGATCGCTTCTCAGAGCTTCTGGATTTTCCCATCCTCCCAACCGATCTTTCTCATCCTTGTCTGCCCTACTGAGACTTGCTTAGCACATCTGTGCATTTGGGTCCCTTCCTCACCTTGCTTGTCCTTATCCTCTGGAAGCCCCTCGACAGGAGAGCTAGCCTGTTTTATGACAAATGCTCTTTATGTAGATCTTAATCCCAGATCTGCAGCAGCAGAGTCAGTGGATGACCCCAAAGGAATAAAACCTGCTTCTGCCCACAAGAAGTTGGAGTTTCACTGCTAAAATGTCATGTGTGCATTCCATTTTGCTTTTACTCAGCTACCCCACTGCTCTTCCCTGTCGCTCCTCCCCTTCCCTTGATGGTCCCATCCACCCCACAAGAAGTCTCTCCTGCATCTATGTACATGTGTTCCATCCCCTGTGCCTCCTACTCCTTGCCCTTCCTGTCTCTAATATCCCCCTTTGTACTTTCAGGTCCTGTGTGTGTGTGTGTGTGTGTGTGTGTGTGTGTGTGTGTGTGTGTGTGTGTGTGTATGTGCACTTAAATTTAGATCAGTGTTTCGCATATAAGGGAGAATGGTTATATTTCTGAGTCTGGCGTATGTGGTATCACATAATGAGCTCGAATTTTGTTCATATTTCATATTTCCTGCAGGTGTCATAATTTCATTCTTCCTCATAGCTGACTGAAGTTCCATTATATGTATGCACATTTCCTCTTTCCATTTATTTGTCGGTGGACATCAATTCTGGTCTGTTTCCTGGGTTTTGTGAATACAGCAGCAATAACCATTCAGGTACAAGAATCCCTATGGTGTGCTGGCTTAGAATCCTTCCGATGTGTACCCAGGACTGGTACAGCTGGATCGTATGATAGTTCTGTTTTTCGATTTTCCTGAGGACTATCCATACTGACTTTCCTAGTAGGTGTACTATTCCCACCAACACTACATAAGTGTTTCTCCCCACAATGGGGGAGTATAGACTCAATGGTGTGTACAACTGTATCACAGCACTGGGGAGGCAGAGGCAGGCAGATGCCTGAGGCTTGCTGCCCAGTCGGCCTAGCCTACTTCACAAGCTCTGGGCCAGTGAGAAACCCTGTCTCAGAAACAACATACATGACTAGAGTAATGACACCCAAATTATCTCTGGTTTCTTGCATGTGCTAAACACACACACACACACATATTCAGAGAGAGAGAGAGAGAGAGAGAGAGAGAGAGAGAGGGACACAGAAAGGTCATCTTTCCCCACTCTCCACCTACATTTGTTATTTCCATCTCCAGCATGAGATGGAATTTCCAAAAAGTTTAATTTGTGTTTCCCTGGTGGCTAAGGAGGTTGAATACTTTCTCAATTTTTTATTTGACTCTTGTATTTCTAACAAATGAGCTTTCCAGTCACTTCATTAGTGCATTTATTTCAGTGTTTAATTTTTAGAGTCTTTTGTGTCCTTAGCTATCTAGATATCAGTCCTCTGTGAAATGTATTGTTGGCAAAGGTTTCTCCCGTCCTGTAGGGAGTCTCTTCACTCTGTGGACTGTTCTCTTTGCCGCGCAGAGGCTTCGTGCCGGCACGCACTCATGCACTCTTGTTTGTTAATTCATGGGATTATTTCCTGAGCTTTTGGAGTCTTCTTCAGAAAGTTCTTGCACATTCCTCTCTTGAAATATTTTCTGTGCTTTCTTCTAGCAGTCTTAAAGTTTTAGGTTTTGCACTAAGTTCTTTGACATATTTGGAACAGGATTTTGTGCCTGCTGAGAGACGGGAAGCTAGTTTCATTCTTCTACTTGGGGCTAGCCCACTAATATCAAATTAATATGGTTACGAGAGACATGGTGCCTTTTTAAGTTATTAAATTATGTTATTTTATGTGTATGGATGTTTTGCCTGTATGGTTTTACCCGGGGTCTACAGAAGACAAAAGAGTGTTATTCCCCCTGATGCTGGAGTTATATAGACAGTTGTGAGTGCTAAGGATTGAACCTGGGTCCTCTGAAAGAGCACCCAATATTCTTAACTGCTGAGCCATCTCTCCAGCGTCATGTCCTACTTCCTTGAGGAGAAATCCTGGAACTTACGTAGTTCCACCATCATTTTTGTTCTACATATGACTATTCAGTAAACTAACCAAACCAAGAAAGGCATTGCTTCATCCCAGGACCCTGAACTGAAGACAGCCAGGAATCATTTCTTT